TTTTGTCAGTTTTCTGTTTAACCTACTTGGGAGAATTTTCTGGACAAGGTTGATGAACAGGTGAGGTTTTGGTTCCTTGCTCTTCTTTTCTGGTAGCAGGTTTTCATTGTTTGACATTTTAGAATGAGACGCTCAACAAATTTTAAGTGAATTATATACTTTCTCCACCAACTTTGGAGCAGTTGAGCTCATGGCTTCTCTTCTTAAATACTTTAATCTCACCTCTTCATTGTTTAATTCTCTCTCATGAAAAGTTCATATCTTTGTTAGGAAGTCTCTAAAAGTGTTGATCTTTTGTAGCTGTTTTCCATTTTGAAGCAGAAAAACAGAGAGATTACATGCTGTGTGTGTTTAGAAGGCAGTTTCGTTGCCTTTTTTCAAGACTTCGATGGGTCATCAGGAAACGGGTGAGGGCCAGAGTTATCGTCAGGAGGTTCAGGAAAGCAAAGTGGAGAGCTCGAGGAAAAGAGAGCCCGGAATCCGAAATTTCTTCTATCCATCTGAGCTCAAACTCCACAAGACATATTCGGGTTGCCACGTTTAATGTGGCAATGTTTTCACTTGCGCCTGTCGTGCAAAACATGGAGGAAACAACTTTGCTTGGCCGTATAGATGACAACAACATATTAAGTCCCTCTCCAAAAGGGATTCTAAGGCAGTCTCCGTTACATTCTTCTGCAGTCAAGAAACCCAAGGTCTGCATTAATCTCCCAGACAATGAGATTTCTTTAGCACAGAGCTACAGCTTTCTGAGCTTGGTCGAGCGTGATAACGATGATAATGATGGAAAGGAAAACAGAGGAAGTATCTCCATGAGGTCTCCTGTGTGTCTTCCCTCTTGTTGGTGGGACCAAGAAAGTTTTAATGGATACAGCAGCAGAAGAAGCATAGCTGAGTTGCTTGGAGAGTTGGATGCAGACATCTTGGCTTTACAAGACGTGAAAGCAGAGGAAGAGAAACGTATGGAGCCATTATCAGATTTGGCGTCTGCCTTAGGTATGAAGTACGTGTTTGCAGAAAGCTGGGCGCCCGAGTATGGCAATGCCATACTGTCAAAATGGCCCATAAAGAAATGGAGAGTTCAGAGAATCGCCGATGCAGATGATTTCAGGTGATAGAAAAATCTCTTTGCTTATCTTACATCGATCTTCCTCTTTCCACTGTATCATTTTTATCATAAGCTACAATTCTATATCAAACCCGAAGTATTGATTTTAACTGTAAGCTCATGAGACTGTGTCCCCTAAATTTAGTACGTTTGTAGAGTTTGGTGGTCCATATGTTTCCTAAGTCTAAAACTGTGCATCAAATTTGAAATAACTCAATTAAATTCAGGTTATAGAAGCCATAGAAGACGCGCAGTCTTTGTTTTCTGTTCTGAAACATGTTGTTTTGCTGCTTGTGGTGCATCGGTTTATCTGCAGGAATGTGTTGAAGGTGACTGTAGAGGTTCCATGGGCTGGAGATGTGAACGTGTATTGTACCCAACTGGACCATCTAGATGAGAACTGGCGGATGAAGCAAATTGATGCAATTACTCGGGGAGACGAATCTCCTCACATCTTGTTGGGAGGCTTGAATTCTCTCGATGGCTCTGATTATTCCATAGCAAGATGGAACCACATCGTAAAGGTAAACTCCGTCAAGATATCAAAACTAAAGTATATAATATTTTAGAGCGGTCATGACATAACTTGTTTCATATATACCAAAACCATCGACTGTAAGAACAGTATTACGAGGATTCTGGAAAACCCACACCTAGAGTTGAAGTGATGAGATTTCTCAAGGGAAGAGGATATGCGGATTCAAAAGAATTCGCAGGAGAATGTGAGCCTGTAGTCATTATTGCCAAAGGCCAAAGTTAGTTTCTCGGTTTCACTTAACTTCCAAAGTTTTATTCTTCCATTATTATACCCATTGATAGTTAATTCTTGATCTGGTGCAGATGTACAAGGAACATGCAAGTACGGGACACGGGTCGACTACATTCTGGCATCTCCAGAGTCACCTTATGAATTTGTTCCAGGCTCGTATTCAGTTGTTTCTTCCAAAGGTACTTCTGATCATCATATAGTCAAAGTTGATTTAGTTATAACCAAAGATCGATCTCGAGGTAGCTTCAAACAATCGCGCAAGAAAGCAAAGCAGAAGATCATCCGGATAAAAGCTAATCTGATGTCAGAAGATACATGGAAATTAGGAAATCTTATGTCTTCATAAACCATGTCCAATACACATACTAATTAAGGAACGTACTTGTTTATAAGATAACATTATATTCTAAACTTACAAAGAACTAAATAAATGTTTTAAACAAACAAGTCTTCTTTTATAGTCTACAAAAAATCTTGACAAAGATCACAACAGTATAGATAGAAAAAACATAAGCAACACATCTCAGACAGCGACAGAGTCCTTCTTGGTCTCCTCCTCCTCATCAACCGGAGCATACCCGATTCCGTTTCGTTTGCTTGGAAACAAAGCGAAGATACTGGCCGAGGCAACCCCCACGGCTGGAGGCAAAGTCATGACCAAAGTCTTTTGTGTTTCCCTAAACCGCGGATAAAAGCAGTTTGCGGTATTAGCATCAAGCAACACCAGTGTCGCAAACACAAGTACCACGAAAACCGCGTGAACAAAATCCGAGATCCTGAGCTTGAACTTGGACAAATCTACGGATCCTGGTTCCGCGTAAGTCCAAAGACCCTTCTTGGTGACTATACCATACTTTCTTGATCCGTCAACGCCTTTGAAACTATCGGTGAAGCATGAGAAAACGCAAGAGAAGCTGCAAAGAGCGACAAGAATGCTTGACATGACCTTATTAGTTGTGGAACATTCACCATCGTTAGTGAGAATAGGGTTGAGTAATAAGTAGATGAAGAGTGTTCCTGTTGGGAGAAGCTTTATAAGACTTTGGAGGCCATTAAGGGATTTGTTTGCCATTAAATCCGATGAAGCTGGAGAGTTTGTTTTGGGTATGAGCAAAGAAGAAGCTTCAGACATGGGCTCGAACCTCTAGTTATTTAGATGTATAAATTATAAAGTGTGTGGTTCAATGCGTATTTATAGAGCAACTAGACATGACGTAACCCATTGATCCGGTCCTAGATGGTGGGTTTAACATCGTAGAAGAACTAGTAATGAAGTTGACCAAGTCAAATTATTACTTTTGTTTATGTCTACACAAGAAGACTCGATAATTATGAAACTGTTTGATTGTTTCGTTGATAAGAAAAGTAAGGAGTA